TGTTTGGCCCAGTGGGGACGGGGATGATGATGGGAAGAGAGGGATGCTTGATGTCATGATTATTCATCACTCACTGATTCATTAGTAACTCTTTTTGAGCGCGTACTATCACCCAGGCACTGTTCTAGACTTTGGTATCCAGCGTTAAATGAAATAGACAAACCCTGCCATTGAGAAGTTTATATCCTTGTGGGGAGAAGCACACAAAAAGATTGAATAAATAAGCAAAATAGAATATCAGATGGCAAGTCCTATAAGGAAAAATAAAGCAGGGCAAGGAGGTAGGGAATGCAAGTGTGGGTTGGGATTGCAGTTTTGTATAGGGTGTTTGAGCAAAGCCTTATAAGAGGTGAGAGAGGGAGTCACCCAGAGACAATGGGGAGAAAAGGGGGAGAAGAGCCTTGCAGTCAGGAGGAACAGACGGAGCAAAGAGCCCTGAGGGGGAGGGTGCCTGGCAGGTTCAAGGCCAGTGTGGTTGGAGCAGAGAGAGTGAGGAGGAAACAGTAGAAGCTGAGCTAAGCGAGGTGACAGAACACCAGCTCATCCAGGGCCCCATGGGCCACTGTGAGCGTGGGGCTTGTACCCTGAGGGAGAGAGAATGCCATGGAAGGTCACGTGATGTGTCAGAGGCTCTGATTTGTTTGCTGTTGTTTCCTCCCCAATTGATGATAAGCAACTTGAGAGCAGAGACAATATTTAGGTTTCCATTCATTCATTCAGCAAACATCTGCTAAGTACCTACTATGTGCCAGGTGCTGGGAGCTCAAAGGTGGGGTTCTCACGATCCAGTAGAAAAGAAAGAGAAGTAAAGCACACATTTCATAGCAGTGTGATATGTGCCCTTGTTGTTGTTGTTAGGTGCTGTTGAGTCGATTCCGACTCACAGTGACCCTATCTGCAACAGAACGAAACACTGCTCAGTCTTGCGCCATCCTCACAATCGTTGCTGTTTGAGCCCATTGCTGCAGCCACTATGTCAGTCCATCTCGTTGAGGGTCTTCCTCTTTTTTGCTGACCTTCTACTTTACCAAGCATAATGTCCTTCTCCAAGGACTGGTCCCTCCTGATAACAAGTATGTAAGACAAAGTCTCGCCGTCCTTGCTTCTAAGGAGCATTCTCTTTGTACTTCTTCCAAGACAGATTTATTCATTCTTCTGGCAGTCTGTGGTTGGATTCTTCCCTAACACCATAATTCAAAGGCGTCAATTATTTTTCAGTCTTCCTTATTCATTGTCTAGCTTTCACATGCATATGAGGTGATTGAAAGTACCACGGCTTGGGTCAGGTACACTTCAGTCCTCAAAGTGACATCTTTGCTTTTGAACACTTTAAAGATGTTTTTTGCAGCAGATTTGCCCAATGCAATACGTCGTTGATCTCTTGACTGCTGCTTCCATGTGTGTTGATTGTGGATCCAAGTAAAATGAAATACGTATCCCAGACTAATATAAGAATTCCACAAGGCGCCCACAGTACCCTCACCCGCTCCAGAAAGGGCAGCAACACCAAGTCCCGTGCAGTGGCTGTGTGTGGCTCCAAGCCCAGGATCTCCAGCCTCTCAGGCTAGTCTAGATATAGCTCCTCATGGTCTTGCAGCCTGGAGCCAAACAATGCATTTACGTCCTACTGACATGCTTAGTAAGCAATATTGGTGGGAAAACAGGATCATAGCAATACAGTTTCCCTCTAAAGGAGTGGAGGAGGGAAACAGCATTCAGTGGTCACCAGTCCAAGGTGCATCCGACATCTCCTGGCCAAGAGAAGCCAGGACTCCCACCTCAACCGGGAATGGGGTGGGTAGGGGTCCATGGTCCGTCCTCCCAGCTTCCTGTGCTCTCAGGTTGGAGGGATACTTTCTTCTCTTTGGTCCTCCATGGCCATGCCTGGGGTCAGATGGGGGCAGGAAATGGGCCAGATTCCTAGATTTCTCTTCTGGTGGGCATACTGCTTTTTGTTTATTTTTGTATTGCACAGTACGTAGCACATAGTAGATTTTCAATAAGTATTTGTTGATTTAATACTGGTGGTCTGCCTACAGGACACCGGCTATGTGTGTACAGGGCAGAGGTGTGGGTGAGGCTGTGGAGCATGGAGGAGGGCATCAAGGATGACCCCCAAATTTGTGTCTTGGATGGCCAGGAGAATGGATGTGCCTGTCTCTGCAACAGGGAGCACAGGACAAGCAGCTGCTTTGGGAGGGGAATGAGGAGTTAGGTCTGAGGTGTTAAGTTTGAGATGCTTATGGAACATTCAAAGGTCTGAGAGACTCAAGATCAAAGAACAAAGCTAAAGAGAAAAGGAGAGTTTGAAAAGCTGGAAAGAAATGAGCTTTGGTCTGGGTGAGTGAACTGGGGCTTGGGTATCAGAGGTAGAATGGCTCTGGGTGGTGACTAGGGTGAGGCCAGGGAGGGAATGAGTAGAAAACCCAAAACATCCATTGCCTTCGAGTCGATTCTGACTCACAGTGACCCTATAGGACAGAGCAGAACTGCCCCATAGGGTTTCCAAGGAGGGGCTAGTGTATTCGAACTGCCGACCTTTTTGGTTAACAGCTGAGCTTTTAACGACTGCACCACCAGGACCTCAAAGTCTCTGGAGCTACTAAAGTCATAGAATTACTGTTAGCCACATCCTACCCTTCTTCAGTATCCCCTCCTCAGGCTGGCTGAGGGCCAACTGATGTTTCAGCTCCAAATCCCAAGGACTGTTTAGTCCACGTGAAGGAAGAGTTAAGACCTCTGGGAGGAAGTGGTTTCTGGTATTTCCATGGCACCCATCTTCAGAAGTTGTCTCACAGGTGGAGAGTCCAACTCCATACGCTGGTACCACGTTGAAGGTGGGATGGACCACTCAGAGGCTATGAGTCCATGGGAGGGAGCAGCAGACTTTTCCAGACAGTGTCTTTGAGAATGTCTTACTCAGTTCTGATGTCTTGGGAGGAACTTCGCTAGGTAAACTTGGCTGATTAGTCACTCTTCTGGAACATTCTCCATGGTCCTGAGGAAGCTTTGAATGAAGTGCAGAAAGACAGCAGGCTGGAAACAGAGGAACAGTCTTGTAAACAGTTCTTCTACTTCCCAGCACATAGGAGGTGCTCCAGTGGAGCTTTGTTGAATGAATGAGTGAATGAATGAATGGAGTGAATGAGTGAATTCATAAACAAATGAATGAATGCTCAGGTGATCCTTACAACTCACATCGTTGGTTCTCAATACATGCTTACTGGGTGATGGGGTGAGTATGGGATGATGCTCAGAGGTTTCCTGAAGCCCACAGAGTGGCCATAGTCCTAAATAAATAAACATGGTTATTTCCCACAGTTGACTTGTAGGATAATTAAGTGATATACTCTCCGGAGCTTCAAAGCAATCATCCCTCTGCAGTTTTCTCTATTTTAGCTCTGTAGCCATCAGTTGGAGGCTGCTTTCCATTTTTCCCTGACTTGATGCCTCCATCTGGGAGGAAGGTGGGGTGCAGAGTTGGCATCCACTCTTCTCCTGGACACAAAAGATCTCTCTCTCGTTCTCACTTTCAAAGTTGGACAGCCTAGGCCCTTCTAGAAATCCAGTGTTCAAGCCAAAATATTCTCCCTCTCACTCGCTCCCTCTCTCCTTCTTTCCCTCCTCCTGTCTTTCCTGCAATGGATTTCAAGCCCACAGGGGGCTCTGCCCCATCTGCTCAGCCCCTGGTACTGACTCAGAACATTACAGCAGCAGCCCAGTAGTTGTCACCATCCTCAACATACATGCCCGAGCACCTGTGTCTAGCATGAGGGGCTAATCCAGTGGACTCAAGGAGATCTCCCTCCCTGGCTCTGACCTCAGGGAGCTTCTGACTGGATCCAAGGACAGGATGCAAGCATTACAGAGTGGCAGCAGTTAAGGAGAAAAGAGCTCCCTGGAGCCTTCTGCATTCTTGTCCAGTGTGGTTGGGAGCTGGGCTCTCCGGAGAACAAGGAAGCTCTGGGCTGCTGGTAGACATTCTCCAGCATCACCCAACACATCTGCTGCAGGTCCAGCTGCCTTCCTGGGACCATCCCTCTGGCGAGCAGTCTTGTGACAGAGTCCTCATGCAAGGGTTCTGTGAATGAGCAATCCAGACCTGCCTTCCTGCTGCCTCTGCAGGCCCACAGTGGGTGGATGGGTTGGAGCCGGGATGCACTCACCGTTGATGATATTTCATGGCACTCTGGGGAACATCCAGTCAGCGGTTTGGTTCAAGTAATAAGGTGTCAGGATCCATCCATCCATCCATTCATCTCTGATGTGTCCTTCCCCAGTGTCTCTGATGGTGGGACTTTGGGAGCACAGGGTAGAGTGTGGCTAAGGAGGAGGGAGGCTGTTATCCATCACTCCCCAGCACTTAGCACTGTGGACTCAGTGGGTCTGATGGGACTATTTCAGCAGCAAGCAAAAGTCCCGGAGAAGATGCATCACTGTCTGTGCATGCAAGTTCTGGAAGCTCTGGCATTAGCCTGTTGAGGGCCTGCTTGTTCTCACGGGTAGTAAGGAGGTTGTCCAAGACCTGGGTGTTTTACTAATCAAGCACCTCCGATATGCCTAGCCCAGTGTAAGGCCCAAGCTCATCCCTGGAGACTGTCAATCTACAGGTTGTTGGTGGACTCCAGTCTGGTTTGTGTTCCCTTCAGGTCACCTTGTCTTGGAAGTCTGGTACACCCCAGGAGTCACCCTCTCCGTATCCAGCAAAGAATGTTGGTTAAGAGTGTGGGCTTAGAGTCAGAACGACCACGGTTTGAATCCAGACCATGCAACTTACTAACCCTGACCTTGGGCACTTTTTTTCAACCTCTCTGAGCCTCAGTTTCCTCATCGTATAATGGGGGAAATAAGATCTCCTTCTCACAGAATTGGGGTAAGGTACAAATGAGGTAGAGCTGCTGGCTCATGGCTGGTGTGTAGTAAGTGTTTACCACACAGCAGCTACATTATCCACCAGTCCTCTTGCCTGTGGGCCCCTCTGATGCTGACCTTTGTCTTAGGTGACAGGAACGCCCTCAAGAGGCTTTGATGAGAAGGCATACCTAGCAGCCAAGCAGCTGAAGGCTGGAGAGGACCCCTACAGGCAGCACGCCTTCAACCAACTGGAGAGTGACAAGCTGAGCCCAGACAGGCCCATCCGGGACACCCGCCATTACAGGTATGGCCTCCATTGTGCCGATGGAGAAAGGAAGGTGGGGAGAAGGGCTAACACTGTTTAGCTTACTGTCTTTCAGTCATGTGTATTTAAGAAATGAGGAAGAATCTAGTTGAGATATTCAAACCCTCATCCTCAATTTCTTTTCCTGCCTATTTTATTGATCTTCTGAGGGTCTAATCAGGCTGCAGGCAGGCCTGCGAAGGCCAAGGAAACCCTCCAACACCTCAGTCTGGCAACAGTGACCTATCAGGGGGCCACAGGGGGTCTGAGGGTTGGGCGAGCCAGGAGTTCCAGGTACCCTGCTGATGGTGCCTGAGTGAAGAGGACCCCACCCCACTCCTGCCATGCAAGCAGTGGAGAGCTGTGTGCTGCCCCTCTGGCCTCCCTTTCCTTCCTCTCATCCCACCCTCCTGCCTCACCTCCTCAGCCCCTCCCAAAAATGCTTCCCAGTCTTGTGCTTTATGCTCCCAATGCAGTGAGGTGGGACTAGGATCAAGGAAGTGTCCCACTTTGGGCAAGTCAGTAAACCACCACTACCTTTCCCCTCCCCCTAACAAAATTTCCTGGTTCAGAATCTTGTCGCTTCCTCTGATCTAGATTATGAGTCATCACCTCCAGTCTTTCTTCTTCCTGCCATCACCCACAGGAACAGTCCAAGCTCCTTATCCTGAAGTATAAGCCACCCCTTCCCCCATGATCTGGCCTTGTCTACCTTCCTAGCCTCTTCTCACCTGCACTTAATGCTCTAGCAGTCCTGCCTCCTCTTTCCTCCCTTCTTTGTTTTTACACATGCTGTTTCCTCTGCTCAAACATACCCCTACCCAGCCCCACCTGCATACTTCAAGATGGCTCAGTATCCTCTCTTCTGGGGAAAGTTCCTTGCTGACCCAGGCTGGGTTCAGGACCTCCTCTATGCTCCATGTAAAAGTCTAGCAGAGCAGTGAAGGTGCATTGGAACTGATCCACCCATGTGTCTGCAGCTTGGAACTACCACCCTCCAGATGAGGTGTCAGCTGATGCCCAGTAATGGTGGGTTTGCTGCCTTCGGGGAGAGAATGAGCATCGCCATCTAGATACCCTCCTTCCTGGGCACCAGATGGCTAGGGAACAAGGACAGAGAACAGGGGGCCCTGGAGGTCAGTGCTGGGTGGCCAGGAGGTGTCTTGCTCTCGGGTTAGATCCCCCAAGATGATGGCAGAAATGCAGGGGTCAGGAGCGCCCTCTGCCTGCTTCTCCACACTCAGCCAGCCAAGCCCCCTCCTGCCCCCAGATCTGCATGCCCTTGCAAGGACAGGCATTGGAAAGTATGACTTTAAGGGGCAGGAGGTGAATTTCCCCATCCTCCCCGCAACTTTCATCTCCTGAGGACAGTTATTTTAAAGCCTCTCAGCATTTCTCCCATGGGGGTCCCAGGCTGGTGGGACTCCGGCCTGTCTGACCCTGTCTGCTCTGCAGGCCAGGAAATGGGTCTGGGAATGCTGGCTCTACACAGCTGTCCGTGGAATAAATGTTGTAATGAAAAAATGTTCCTGCTGGAATAGTCAGAGAGCAATTGTAATAAAGAGGATTGCCATGAAAACCAGCGCGGCAGCCGCCTTCCAGCTGGCCCCAGGAGCACAGATAAATGCATTTGCAGAAACAACAGGGATAATGGCTGGCAGGAATGGATTGCTTTAATTCTCTTTCCTGAGGAGTGGGAGCCAATGGGCCAAGAATGTGCTGTCTGTAAATGGCGGCACCCAGAGCTGACAGGGGAGGGAGCCAGGTAGCAGGAGGTGCCTTTGGTGGCCTCCAGCCGCACTTAAGTTTCCACTGGAGACCAGGAACCCTGGGGAAGAGAGAAGCTGGACCCTGCCTGGTGTCTCCAGCAGGCTGCTAGTATCTGTGCAGGGAGGAGGTACCTATGGGCAGGCGGGTGGGGGCCATTCCTCTCCAGATTCTACCAAATGTCAGGAGTGGGGGAGAAGAGAAGGAAGAAGTCCCAGAGTGTCAGAAGACCAAGGAGGCTGTTTACCCTCTGGGCCTGCATCTGATCTCCCTCAATCTGCTAGCATGTTCACTCCCTAGGGCAGGGAGTTTGTCTGGTTCAGTGCTGATCCCAGGTCTGGTGCAGTGCCTGCACATGGGAGGAGTCCTACCTACTAACACTTGAATGGATTTGGCGTTCCAGATACTCCAGGTCTTTGGTAAAGATCCCCTGGGCCTGGAAAGGTCCCCCAGACTGCTGCTTCGCTGCGGCCTCCAGGCTGGGTGGCATCTGAGTGCTGGGCCTTAGTGGGTTAGAGGGTGGGCATGGAGGGGCAGGGGACTGCGTCCTGGCTTCGGGCTTCCTTTTCTGCTCCATAGGGGTATTCCGCGGTGGAGCAGGCCTGGACAAAGAAAAGCCTCGAGCCTGCCTCCACAGCTGGCCTCTGACCTCCCTGCTCCCTCCACAGTTGCCCATCTGTGTCCTACTCCTTAGACCTGCCGGCTACCAGCGTCATCATTACCTTCCACAATGAAGCCCGCTCCACCCTCTTGCGCACAGTGAAGAGGTAAGCACAGTCTCGGGACACTCGTTCCTTGGTGGTGCTGCCCCCAAAGCCTCGGAAGAACCCGCTGAGCCTCTGGCAGGGATGGACCTTAAGACAGGGTGCTGTGGCCAGATAGTGTGAAGACCAGCGGGCAATGGAAGGGTGAGTCCTGCCCTTATGAGAAGCTGGGGCTGGTGAATTGGGGTCAGGGAATGGCCAGGGTCAAAACCCTAGAAGTCCAAGTGTTAACGAGATGCTGCAGTCAGATGCAAGGTTAGGTCCCCAAGGTGAGGGCAGAAATACAGGGGTCAGAAGCAGAGAGAGGCAGGAATGGACTTGAGGCCTTAGGCAGATGAATGTGAGCCCAGCAGGTGCCTGTCTGTCAATCAGAGAGAGGTGCCCTCTGGCCTTCTCTTAAGCTTGGCCCTATAGTCAAGTTTAAGTCCCACTCACCCTATTTCCTCAATGAACTTAGACAATTCAAAGGGCAGTACAATGCAGCTGTAACCTCACTTCCAATCAAGAAGTGATTTGGAAAGGAGTTCCCAGTGGCATCCCAGGGACTCAAGGGATTGGATTTCCTTTCCCAAGGAGGGGAGGAGGAAGTATGGTGGAAGAAAGGAGCAGAAGGGGACTCCTAAGAACAAGCCTCATGACCCATTAAAAAATAAACAAACAAAAAACAGTTGCCGTCAAGTCGATTCTGACTCATGGCGACTTTGTGTGTGTTGGAGTAGAACTGTGCTCCGTAGGGTTTTTAATGGCTGATTTTTTGAAAGTGGATTGCCAAGCCTTTCTTCCGAAGCACCTCTGGGTGAACCCAGACCTCTAACATGGATTTCCATTTGCACCATGCAGGGACTGCTGACCTATTAGGCCTTCTGCGCAGGCTACTCCAGGTCCAGCTTGAGGTTGCCCCCGAGCAGGGCTTGTTAAGCTTCAGGCAGTTGGAGCAGCTGCAGCTCCTGTCTCCTCCAACTCAACTAGGCAGTCCCCATTCCCCTATCTGGGATTGGTCCCAAGTGCCTGAGGGTCCAAGTGGCAGGGTCAGCAGGTCCCTGGAAAAGCCTGAGGAACTCACTGCTTCTTAGCCACTGATCAGGGCCTGGAAAGCTCGCAAGCAGATGCCTGTGGGAATGTACCAGCCCCTGAGCTGTGTAGTAGGAGAGCCCCCCAGTGCAGGGAGATGTGAATGGGGGGTGTCCGCCTAAGTCCAGGCTCCTCTCTGTCCCCACTGCTGCTCCAGTGTCCTGAATCGAACTCCTGCCAACTTGATCCAGGAGATCATTTTAGTGGATGACTTCAGTTCAGATTGTAAGTATTCACCTTCCTTTTTCTACCCCCCTTTTACTCCCCATCTCCTCAGAACACTAGGGCAAGCACTCTTGAGGTTGTCCTGGCTACCACAGCCTGACCGTGAGTGCTCGCTCTCTCTGTGCCCCAGTCCAGATCTTTAGTCTTTTCTAGGTCCCCTCCCTGGCCTTCCTTCTTGGTGCCAAAGGAGGAGAAAGGGTAGTGTTGCTTTGAATGGGGCACCAGTGAGATGACAATAAAAAAAATTAAAACAATATCAGTAACATCCTTCATTATCACAACTGCCATGCACAGATAGTCCCTTGAATCTAGCTCTGCAAGAACTAGGCTGGCAACATAGTTGCTGGTGCTCTCTGGCGCCCCCTGCAGGGTAACTCTATAGGCACAGGCGTTCCTCAGATGGCCTGGCCTGGGAGTGGGAGCCGGTAGACATGACTATGTCCCTCCATGCATCCCCCATTCCCGGCCCTTTCCCTGGCCCTGCTATGGGACAACTCCTGGGCAGTTCCAGTCACCCATGTCTAAAGGAGCTTACTTTCTTTCTCCCTAACCCCACGCCCAGCTGAAGATTGTCTGCTCCTGACCAGGATCCCCAAGGTCAAGTGCCTGCGCAATGACCGGCGGGAAGGTGAGTCCCTGGGTCCTGGGCCACACCATGGACTCATCTTGGTCCAGTTCTCTGCACCTCACCACTCCCTTTCATCATGCTAACCCAGCATGACCCTGCTGCATCCCTGATGGGCCGAGAGCAAGGTCTGTGGAAAGACCTTCCTGCTATCCCAGCCTCTGTCATGGCGCAACATAGGCAAGTTGCTCTACTTCTGGGTGCCTTGTTGTCTCTTCTGAGAAATGGAGCTAATACTAGTGCCCTTTTCTGCCTTTTAAGGTTATTGTGAGGATTGGATGAGGCAGGTTCTGTGGAGATGCTTTGAGAAATTCAAAGGGCAGTACAATGCAGGTGTAACCTCACTTCCAATCCAGAAGTGCTTTGGAGCATCACCTATGGCATAGCCCTGTGCATGGCACTCTAGGGGACACAAAAGAAGTATAAAATAAAGTCCCTGACCTTGGAGAACTTATTATGCAGCTGAGGAGTCAGAATCTACCTCAGCAACAGGCTGGTTATAGTTATGTGTGAATAACATGGAGATCGGAGTAGAGGAGTTGAAGGAAAGCTGCGATGAGCAGGGAGGGCTTTTGGGGGAGAGATAGGTCCTACTGGGGCAAGGGGCTGTGGGACAGGTGACGGGCAGCAAGGGAGGGAGTTCGAGACTTGGGGACTCTGCAAGCAAAGGCAAGGGTCAGGAACAAGTAGACATGTAATACTAACAGCCCCTCTTCTTGAGTTCTCAACATGTGCCAGGCATTCACTTTGCCTACATTCCCACATCCAGTCCTCACAATAGCCTACTGTCCCCGCTTTACATATAAGGAAGCTCGGGTTTAGAGAGGGATTCTAACTCTGTCCACCCACCCTAAAGCCCAGCCTCTTACCCTAGCTCTGCTTACACATCCTTCCAGTGAGAAGCCAGGCCTGGTCAGCTGGGGGAATGGGTGGAGTGAAGTTAAATGACAGAGGACCTTGGAAGCCAGAGGAAGGCATTTGGATTTGATAAGGTGCACAGCAAGGAGCCACTGAAGGTTTGAGAGGGAGAGTGCATACATGAGAGAGAGAGAGAGAAAGGTGTGATAGATGTATTTAAGAAAGACCAGTTGGGCTGAGAGGCCACGACAACATTGGTGAGTGAGACCTTCAAGCTGAAATGGAAGTGGCCAAAATAAATCCCTCCCAGACACTGGGAGAGTGGCTTGTAGGTTACAGGGGCCATCAGGCCTAGGATTATGCTGTTTCCTGGATTTTTGCCCAAAAGTGGATATCAATTTACAATTAGGTGCTTTTGGATGGACAGATGGACTTTTGGATGGATAGATGGACTTTTGGATGGACAGATGGAGGGTAGTCAGACAGATAGAGGCAGAGCTGGGCAGAGGTGTGGCCAAGGAAATTCCTCCCAGAAGCAACTTGTATTCAGAACTCTCAGAGTGAGGCCCTTCTCTCCCCGACTGGGTCAGGACCTACCCCACAGCTCATAGGGCCCTGATGGCTGTTCTGGCAGCAGCAGGACCACCTGAGCCTCCTGTCTCCTGACCAGGCAGGTCCCCAGGCCTGACCAGAGAGCTGCCAAAAGCAAGACCATTCCTTGAAGGTCAATGTGCTATTAGTGAGGCTTTCAAGGACATGCAGGAGGAAGAGCAGAATCTAAGAACAAAATGCCTCTTGGGCACCAGCTACTCTCCATGTGTCTTGTTTGATCCTCACAGTGCCCTGGGAGGTAGGGGTTATTAGCTCTCTGCATCTTATAAATAAGAAAACTGAGGCTCAGAGAGGTTAAATAACATGCTTAAGGTGAGTGAAGGGGCTGGCATACAAACTCAAGCCTGTCTTATTCCAGAAGATTCTCTGTGTGTCATACGTGATAGTGCAGCTGGTGGGAATCACCCTGAGGTTCTCAGTGGGTGGTAGTGGGGAGCGAAACTTTGGTTTCTGGCTCTCCTTCAAACCACACTCTGCTGCAATTTCCATTTGCTAAACTGTGACTGTTCATTGATGTGTCCCTAGAGCCTAGAACAGCGTCTGGCATGTGGCAGGCACTCAGGGAAGGGCCATGGAATAATGAATGGTTGGTGGATGGATGAGAGGAATAAAGGGAGGAGAAGGAGGGAGGGAAGATGGAAACAAACAGAAGGACAAAATAAAGTTCAAGCCCAATAACTCAGAGGAAGCCTCAGTCCCTGGAGGGGTGGAGAGGAGGCCCTGGGGCTCTGGGGGATGGCTGGAAAGCAAGCTGGCACCAGCTCTCCCCTCAGTCCCAGCACCAACCCCTGTCTATTTCCACTGCAGGGCTGATCCGGTCCCGAGTTCGCGGGGCAGATGTGGCCATGGCGGCCGTCCTCACCTTTCTGGACAGCCACTGTGAAGTGAACACTGAGTGGCTGCAGCCCATGCTGCAGCGAGTGAAGGAGGTGAGTCCATCTGTCCCTGGGTGAGATGGGTGCCCTTGGGGATGCCCCCTGCCATGTTTCTGGAGTCGGGCGGGCAGTGATTGAAGACTAACTCGCTTGCTTCCCGGAGTGACTTCATTTCATTAAGCTTTTTCTATCTGAAAATGGGAATAATTGTAATACAGTCGTCCCTTGGTATCTGCAGGGAATTGGTCCAGGACCTCCGTGGATACTAAAATCCTCGGATGCTCAAGTCCCTTATATAAAGTGGCACAGTATTTGCATATAACCTATGCACATCCTCCTGAACACTTTAAATCATCTCTAGATTACTGATAATACCTAATACAATGTAAATGCTATGTAAGTAGTTGTTATACTCTATTATTTAGGGAATAATGACAAGAAAAAAACTCTGTACATGTTCAGTACCATCGCAGGCCTAACTACATAGTGCACATCAGACGCCAGGTGAACAATGCTCAAACAAGGAGTGCTGGAGAAAGACTGAGGATCTGTGAAATGGTGGGAGGCTACAGCAGGGTGTGCCTACACATCACTCCCCCCTCCTCCAATTTTTTCAATTCGCGGTTGGTTGAATCCCTGGATGCAGAAACTGCAGATACAGAGTACAGGGGCCGACTGTATTTGCCTCACTGGTTGTTGTGAGAATTAGATGGATGAAAGCCTGGGTGAGCTATAAAGCTCCTATGACGCATGGGTGATGGTTTTCTCCTGGGGGAAGTGGGAGTCCTGTGATGGGGGAGCTTTTGGTCAGGCTGGAAAACCTGAGAAAGAGGGAGGAGAGGACAGTACTTTCAAAGAGCAGAGAGGGCAGGGGGCCCCTATGTGTGCCTGCATTCTCTAGAATAGCGAGGATTTCGACAGATGGCAGGAAAGGATGAGGCAATTACAACTCAACAATAAAAAGACAAATGACTCAATTTAAAAATGGGCAAAGGATTTGAATAGACATTTCTCCAAGGAAGATATACAAATGGCCAATAAGCACATGCAAAGATGCTCAACATCATTACTCAGTAGGGAAATGCAAATCAAAACGACAATGAGATACCACTTCACACCCTTTAGGATGCCTATAATCAAAAGATGGACAATACACTTAAGACTGATTGAAACAGCAAAATTTTTGTGACATTTATTTTACCACAACAAAAACAAAAAAAGATGGGCAATAACAAGTGTTGACAAGGATGTGGAGAAATTGGAACCTTCATACACTGCTGGTGGGAATATCAAATGATGCTGCCACTTTGGAAAACAGTTTCTCAAAAAAAGTAAAGATATTCCATTCCCAGGCATATACCCTAAAGAAATAAAAGCCATGACACGAACAGACATATACACACCCATGTTGGTTGCAGCATTATTCACAATAGCAAAAAGATGGAAAGGGCCCATCAACAGATGAATGGTGGTCCAGTCGGGAAGACTCAACCCAAACAGACTGTGGTACATACACACAGTGGAATACTACACAACGATAAAGGATAATGATGAATCCCTGAAACATCTCACAACATGGATGAATTTGGAGGACATTATGCTGAGTGAAATAAAGCAATTACAAAAGGACAAATGTTGTGTAAGACCACTATTATAAAGTAACAACAAAAGGTTTATACACAGGAAAAAAAGAAAAAAACATTCTTTGATGGTTACCAGGGATGGGACAGGGAGGAAGGAAAAATTACCAATTAGATAGAAGACAGAAGTTAATATTGGTGACGGGAAAGGCAATACATAATATGGGGGAAGTCAGCACAATATGACAAAGGCAAGAGAGTACACTGAGAGGAACGCAAGAATAAAGGGAAACTACGGTAACTACTATAGCATAGACAATCCTGCACCAATAGTATTAACAAACAATAATTTATGAATGGATGAACAGGTAGATATAAGTTTGGTGGGGGATATTTCTACATACATGACTGTAGGTGCAGCTCATATAGAGCACACAAGTGGTAGTCAGGGAAACCTCTTAGGTATAACCAAACACCTCACAGGTTGAAGTTCCTAGGCTGGAAGACAAAGGACCATAGACTCGGGGGAAGTCTACGTCAATTGGCATGACATAGTTCATAAAGACAATGTTCTGCATCCTACTTGGTGAGTAGCATCTGGGTCTTAAAAGCTTGCCAGCAGCCATCTAAGATACAACTATTGGTCTCTTCCCGTCCGGAACAAAGGAAAGTGAGGTAAACCAAGGACTCAAGGGAGAAATCAGTCCAAAGGACTAATGGACTACATGAACCACAGCCTACATGACCCTGTGACCAGAACTAGATGGTGCCCGCCTACCACTACCAACTGCTCTGACTGGGATTACAGCAGAGGGTCCCAGGCAGAGTGGGAGAAAATTGTATAACAAAAAATCAAATCCACAAATAGGACCAGGCTTGCTGGTCTGATGGACACTGGAGGAACCCCCAAGACTATAGCCCTAAGACACCCTTCTAACCTGAAACTGAAGCCATCCCGGAGACCTCCTCCCAGCCCAACAATAGGTAAGCACTTAAGATAAAAAATAACACCAGAGAGGAACTACTCCTTAGAACAATCAATTACACTAGATCAAAAGGGCAATCAATACCTGCCCAAAAGCAAAGGTGAGAAGGCAGAAAGTGCTAGAAAATCAGGATGAAAGGAAATGGGGAACCCAGAGTGGAAATGGGGAGAGTACTGACACATTGTGGGGAATGAAACTAAGGTCATGAAACACTTTATGTACAAACTATTGAATGGGAAACTAATTTGCTCTGTAAACTTTCACTTAATGCGCAATAAAAAAAAGTAAACATAGAATTACAATATGACCCAGAAATTCTACTCCTACATATATACTCAAGAGAATTGAAAACATATATTCACATAAAAATCTGTACATGGGTGTTCAGAACAGCATTTTTCATAATAGCCAAAGAGTGGAAACAACCAGAATGTACTTCAGCTAATGAATGGATAAACAAAATGTGGTATATCCATATAATGGAATATTATTCAGTCTTTAAAAAAGAATGAAGTATTGATACCTGCTACAACATGGATGAACCTTGAAAACATGGTAAGGAAAAAAAAAAAACCAGACATGAAAGACCACATATATAGAGCACGAAAGTGGTACATGATTCCATTTATATGAAATGTCCAGAATAGGCAAATTCATAGAGATTTGTAGACTCAAATTCAAAACAGTAGATAAGTGTTTTCCAGGGAAAAGGAGAGAATGGGGGAATGACTGCTAATGGGTGTGAGATTTCTTTTTTGGGGTGGTGAAAAGCAGAGAGGGCTGGGGGGGGGGAATTAGATAGATGTTCTGGAATTAAACAGTGGTGATGGTTACACAACCTTGTGAATACCCTAAACACTGGATTATATACTGTAAAATAGTGAAATTTATGGTACGAGAATTCTATCTCAATTAAAAAAACGCCTATGAAAAGGATGAGGCGAGGCCCCCTGGAGAACTGTGAGGAACACAGACGGTGTCTGACGATCAGCCACCCCCATCCCTAAGGCTTTCGTTGTCTTGAGAAGGTGTGTGAGCTGAGGGTAAGAGCTGAATACCAAGTTTCAGACAAAAAGATTTGGGCATCAGAGTGAGAAAGAGAAGAGACAAAGAAGAGGCTCTGTTCTGTGTTCCTCCATGGAAGGAGAGAGAAGGGAGGACTAATGAAAGGGGGATTAAGTTTTGCTGTGTGGTATATGACATAATCAAACACATACACATATACCCTCCCCCCACCGAAGAAACCTTTGGTAAAATCAACATTACTCACCAATGTTTTGGAGCTGGATTTGTGTCCTGGAAGGTGATGAAGGGAGCGGCAAGTCTGACCTTGAGGTGGATGTGGCATGAGAGTAATGGCACCCAGGTAACACTAGGACCACAGGGTCCCTGCAGTCAAGCTGCTGGTGGTCCAGTTGGGAAGACTCAACCCAAACAAAGATAAATGATAATCAATAAAATAGTTCAAAGCGGCAACAGAAGAGCCACCTCAGACAACACGTGTCCCAGGAATTGTCTAGACTATAATTGTGAGAGCAGTTTAAAGGAAGGAGAAATCCCTTCAGCCTGCAGCAGTCAAGGAGAGCTTCACTGAGGAGGTGAGATCCCAGCACGACTCAACACGATGTGAGAGGAAGAGGCTGAGAGAGCTTGTGTGCCCATGGGATCCAGGTGGGACTTCCAAGGAGCCTGTGTGTGGTGGTGCGGGACAGCTTCTAGGAACCTGCCAGGGTTCTGGGGCGGCCTTAGGAATGTCCTGCAGGAAGTGGCGAGGGCCAGTGCCTCAGAGAGAGCTTCTTCCCAGGGCAGGTGGCTGGGCCTTTCTTCACAGAGGAGCCTCTGGCCTCACCCATCTTGTGTCTCCTCTCCTAGGACCACACCCGCGTGGTGAGCCCCATCATTGATGTCATCAGTCTGGATAATTTTGCCTACCTTGCAGCATCTGCTGACCTTCGAGGAGGTGGGTCCTGCTCCCTGTGGAGGGTCTTTAGACCCGAAGAGAGGCAGATGAGGGCAGGCAAAGGCCCTGGCTTGGTACTCTTTGTCCCAACTGTGCCAGAGAGCCCCACACAGCCCTTACCTCCAAGGAGAAAATGAAGAAGGATTGAGTGGAGACCTAGGATGCAGACAAAGGGCTAGAACTGGCAGTTGCAAGATCCTGATGCCATCAATGACAGAGACATGGCTAGTCTCCAGTCCTCGTCCCCAGCATTGACACGTCCTTCCCGAATGCTGCCGGCTCAGGGACCATGGCCACAAATCCCTGCCGAAGGGCATGATGTCACAGCTGTCTTGGGGGTGGGAGAAGGGGAATCCTCAGCCTTGTAGTTCATAACCTGACATGAATTTTAGCATATACACCCTGGGAAAGGTCTAGAACTGGGCTGTCTAATATGGTAGCTATTAGCGACATTTGAAGAGGCAGTGGTGGTTCAGTGGTAGAATTCTCACCTTCCACACAGGAGACCCAGGGTCAATTTCCAGCCAATGCACCTTATGTGCAGCTACCACCTATCTGTCAGTGGAGGCTTCTGTGTTGCTATGATGCTAAACAGGTTTTAGCAGAACTTCTAGACTAAGACAGACTAGGAAGAAAAGGCTAGTGATCTACTTCCAAAAACTAGTCCATGAAAACCCTATGGATTACAACAGTCTTATGCTCAACCAATCATGTGGATGGCAGTTTCGTTCTATTGTTCATGGGGTCAAGTTGGGGGCTGACTCGATGGCAGCTAGCAACAAGCCACATTTAGCTGCTGAGCTCTAGAACTGTGGCTTGTCTGAATCGAGATACGCTGCAGATATAAAATACACACCAGCTTTCAAAGACTTAGGATGAGTGTAAAATGCCTTATTAGGAATTTTTATATTGATTACATGTTCAAATGATAATATTTTGGATATATTGGCTTTAAATATATTATTAAAATTGCTTCCATGTGTTCTTTTTACTTTTTGATGTGGCTACTAGAAAACTTAAAATTATATATGGGGCTCATATTTGTGGCTTGCATTGTATTTCTTTTGGAAAGCTCTAGTCTAGACACAAGAGCTGCACTGTTCCAAAGAGTGGACAATTAGCCACATTTGGTTATTTAAATTAATTAAATAAATTTAAAAATACAGTCCCTTAGTCATACTAGCCACATTTCAAGCGCCCAATAGCTCAATAAGGTTGTTATTGTTGTTCAACTCAGAGTGACCCCATGTGACAGAGTAGACTGCCCCATAGGGTTTTCTGGGCTGTAATCATTATGCGAGCAGATTACCAGGTCTTTCTCCCACAGAGCTGCTGGGTGGGTTTGAACTGACAACCTTTTGGTTAACAGCTGAGCATTTAACCGTTGCGACACCAGGGCTCCTTATTAAATAAGGTCAGTGGCTACCATATTGAACAGCACAGATATAGAACATTTCCATCATTGCAGAAAGTTCTATCGGAAAGTGCTGCTCTAGAGAATTTGCTGCTGGGAGTTAGTGGCATAGTGGGTTTCCCATTTGGGGCTTGGACTCCTAATAAATGGACACAGACATTAGTTAGATCCCTTGTGTGGGGTTCTAAAGGGAGCCAGGCATTTCCTCTTTGGGAAATCATCTCAAGGCCTTTGCACCTGCTGATCTTTCTGCCAGTATTTTGTTTCCCCAGGTCTATGCATGGATCCATCCTTCATTCAGGTCTTTAACTTCAGCTCATCAGAGAGCCTTTCCTGATTACTCTTTCTCAAATAGCATGGACACCTCTCCTTTATTATTATTATTTTTAACACTTATTACCCCTAACTGACACATTATCCATTTGTTTATATATCTCTGTTGTTTCATTCTTGCCCACTAGATTGCAAACTCCATGAGGTCAGGGACTTGTCTCATTCTGAAAAAGGAAACGGCTACATGGAGAGTGCAGGGTCCCCTGCAAGCCGGGACTCTAATCAAGAGAGACTGAGGGGTGGTGGAGTGAGGGGAGTGAACAGCCCCAAGGGGCTCTGCCCTGAGTCCCGTCTTCAACCTGCTCTGTCCCTTAGGATTCGACTGGAGCCTACATTTCAAGTGGGAGCAGATCCCTCTTGAGCAGAAGATGAGCCGGACAGACCCCACCAGGCCTATAAGGTCAGGGCTGCTATGGGTACTTTCTTCCTTGGTTCAGAGGCCTAGGTGGTTCCTGGAAGGCCATATCAGACACCTGGGGCTCCTGAGGGTGCACAGTCTAAGTGCTGACTCTGTTCTGGGCCTTTGAGCCCTGTCTCCAGGGACAGAGAGGACAGAGGCCATAGGAACAGTTATGAGGGGCCAGGGGGCTGGCCAGATATCCTGCCCCAAGGACACTGCAAGCAGGGGATTCTGGGGCAAACGGCCTTGGGTCTTGGGGCTGTCTAAAGGGGCTCCTGCTTCTAGATTCCATGCATTGCCTTCTTCCTTTCCTGCTCCCAGGACGCCTGTCATAGCTGGAGGAATCTTCGTGATCGACAAGTCCTGGTTTAACCACTTGGGGAAGTATGATGCCCAGATGGACATCTGGGGAGGAGAGAATTTTGGTAAGTTGGGAAATAATACAGTAAAACCTGCGAAAGCCAGAACTTTTATAAGGAGGAAACCTGTCAGAGAAGGAAAACTCAAATTTTTTCCACTAAAATGACTGATAGAAAAGTGGTAAGACTGCACCCTGTTAAACCCAGACAAAGAAGGCAGTTCTATCGAGTTTCGGGTCTCACAGGTTTCACTGTAGTGATAACAGGTAACCCTGACTGAATACTTTCTATGCATGAGACTCTGTTCTTAGGAATTTATGCATATTAACTCATTTAATCCTCACAAGGACCCTAATAATAATGTAACTACTATTATTATAAGTACTATTATTATCTCCATTTTACAGATAAAGAAATTGAGGCACAGAGAGGCTAAGTGATTTGTCCAGAGCCACACAGCTAGTAAGCAAAGGGATTTAGGTGCTCAGGCGGAGCATGTGGCCACATGTGTGTGGACGAACATGCAGACTGTAACATGGACTGCAGCTTAAACGTGCGGCCTCCTCCCTACCCTACTTCTGCTTGTTAGCAGAAAGGCTGGGAAGTGGGCAGTAGAGGATGGTGGTTGGTGTAAGCAATAGGGTCAGATGGCCTGAGGGCAAATCTGAATCCTACCACCTACAAGCTGTTTGGCCCTAGGCAAGTGAAAGCCTCCGTAAGCCTCAGTTTCCTTAAAAGGTTGTTAAAAGTACTAAATGAGATAATGAGCTAAAATACATGGCCTGTGCTCGCAGCTATCACCGTTACCCATGATACCATAAGGAACCCGCAAGACCCAGGAGAGGGAAGCTTAGGCAGCCATGAGGAGACAGAAACTGGGGCAAAATGTTTCAGTAGGGACCTAGAGAAGGCTGGAGCTGGGTTTGCTGCCCCCGACACACACACACACACACACACACACACACACACACACACCTCAGCACGTCACTCAAGGGCCACGTGGCACTATGGAAAGGCAACGGGATGGGTTGGAGCCGGGACTCCAGTGTGTGATATCTTTGGTTAAGTCAGTCAACCTTTTTGAATCTGTTTCATTTGCAAAATGGGAAGTGAAGAGCACACATCTCCCAGGGTTGCTGGTAAGGGTTAGGTTCAATACAGTGTGTGTATCAGCAAGTGTCTTGGCAGGAGACAGACTGTACCCAACGTGGGCACTTTGAGGAGGGCTTACTAGACGGCCTATTTACATGGTGGTGGCAGGAATAGGGAACCATAAGAGATAGTGTACTACTGGGTGGGGCTGGTGATCACAGGAAGTCGAGCCACCCCTAGGTCTGCATAAGCTGTGTGGCGAGGGCCCCTAACAGGAGTCCTTACAGGAGAGGGCGTGTACAGCCAGCTTGTGATGCCCAGGTAGAGGGTGCCGGGGGGATAAATACCCTTACTCTCTTCTCCCTCTGATCTCCTGCTGGTCCCTCCTACTGGCTGAACCTGTCAGCCCGAGGGAAACCCAGGGATGCAGCCCCCACAACAGCCTCCCAAGTACAGAGCAAGGTAGAGAAGGCGAAAGAGTGAGCCCGAAGGTTCTTTGTGGCCTATAAAATACCAGAGCCTGTTCTTGCTGTCAGAGTGGACTCAGTGCTTTCCCGCTGTTTCCTTTTTCATCCTGCCCAGGTTCCTTGTGAAAGAAGTAGGGCTGGTGGTATCTCACCCATTTGACAGATGGGAAAACCGAGTTTCAGTCAGGAAACTCCATGTCTGTAGCTCCTTTGCCAGAACAGCTTAAGTGTTGTGGGATATTATCAAAGTCAAAGTCTGTGTTTCTGAGAAGCTGTTGGGAGCAGGAAGACTCTTTTTCCTTTCTCTCTGATCAGGAAACAGATAAGCAGTGGGACCTAAGCCAGGCCTGATCCCAACTCACAACCCACCATAGTGGAAATAAGCATTGAGTTTTCTCCCCCTTTGCAACTTACTCTTGGAAACCGTTTCCAGGCAGGCATTTAGAGGCTTGAGGCATAAATCCTGGGAACTGGGACGCAGTGACCCTTCCGTTCCAACCCCCTTTCATGTGTTTTGGGCCTTAGTGACCTCCTTTGTGTCCTAGTCTCAGCCTGAAGGGAGCTTTGGCAAAACTGGTTTCCTGTAAAGAATTGCAAGGATGGGAAACTACCAGTCTCTCCTTCACTGCATCCTGAGGCCTTTTCTCTAAGGCTGGACCCGACAGAGAAACAGTAAATGATCAAATAGCCAACTTCAAACTCCACCTGAGGCGAGGGCACTGTGGTTGGGGAACTTTAAAGTGAACTCTGGAGTGGTTCTGGGGAAGGTTTTGTTTCTTATCAGAAATTCAAAGTAATTTCTAGGCTAGCCGTGGTGTTCAGTCAGACATTCAGCTGCTCGGACCGGTTTTGAGCTGTGAGACTCCCGCCACTGGTGGGTTTGAGCCTTTCATTTTATTCCTTTGTTGAAGAAAAGGAGATGCACAAACTGAATCTCATTCCTGTGTCCCCCAAGAGATCCAAACCCAGGAGCCCAAAAGCCAGCTTGAGTGGGGTGGCAAATGTGAAAACCTTGGGTTTCACATTAAGGATCCATTTTTTTTTTTTTTTCAGTTGAGGTGAAATTCACATAACATAAAATCAGTCATTTTAAAGGGTACAATTCAGTGGCATTTAGTACATTCATATTGTTGTGCAACCACCACCTCTACTTCCAACACATTTTCATCACCCCCAAAAGAAAACTCTATATCCAATAAGGAGTCACTCCCTATTCCCCTTCCCCACAGCCCCCGGCAACCACCAATCCACTTTCTGTCTCCATGGATTTACCTATTCTGGTTATTTTATATAAATGCAATCACATTATGTGATCTTTTGTGTCTGGCTTCTTTCACTCAGCATAAAGTTTTCAAGGTTCATCCACATTGTAGCAGGCGTCAGTACCTCGTTCCTTCTTATGGCTGAACAATATTCCATTGTTAGTATATACCACATTTTGTCTATGCGTTCATCAGTTGATGGACATTTGAGTTATTTCCACCTTTTGACTGATGTGAATAGTGCTGACATGAACATTCATGTACAAGTATTTGTTTGCATACTTGTTTTCAACTCCTTAGGGTATATACCTCGGAATGGAGTTGCTGGGTCATGTGGTAATTCTGTTTAACTTTTTGAGGAACCATCAAACTGCTTTCCACAGTGGCTACACCATTTTACATTCTCACCAGCAGTGTATGAGGGTTCCAGTTTCTCCACATCCTCTCCAATACTTATTATTTTCCTTTTTTTAATTGTAGCCATCTTGGTGGGTGTGCAGTGGTATCTTATGGTGGTTTTGATTTGCATTTCCATAATGCAAATGACTAACGATGTTGAGCATCTTTTCATGTATTTGTTGGCCATTTGTATGTCTTCCTTGGAGAAATGTTCAAATCCTTTGCCCATTCTTAACTGGGTTGTTTGTCTTTAGGGATCCTTTTAAAACATAGTCAGATCACATCACTTCTCTGCTGAAAATTTGCAAGGGCTCCAATGTCACTCAGAGCAAAAGCAGAAGTCATTACACTGGCCACCAGGCCCTACACTATCTGCCCCCATTCCTCACCCTTCAAAAGACACACCCCATTAACTCTGCCCTCCTCTCCTATTTCTCCCATCCTATGTCACCCCACTCTGGCTGCACTGGCCTCCTTGCTGCTCCTTGAACTGGCCAGCCATGCTCTTACCTCCGAGTCTTTGCCCTTGCAGCTTCCTCTGCCTGGAGCACTCTTCCCCTGATAGCCACAGGTTGAGTTCCCTCACCTCCTTCAGGTTGTAGCTTGAATGCTCCCTTGTCAGTGAGAATATCTCTCTCATCAGCCTAATTAACATTTAGTACCCCCTCCACTGGCCTTCTTCAGCCCCTGTCCTGCTTAACTTTTCTCTGCTGCACTCATTACCATCTGATTTACTACACGTCTTCCTCATTTTCCTGTTTCTTATCACATTTCTTCTTATTTTATTGAGCTCCTGCCTCCTTCCACTAGAGTATAAGGGGTTCTAGAACAGTGTATGGCATGTAATAGGTGCTTAGTAAAAATCTGCTGAAGGAACTAAAGAATCTGATTCAAACAGTGCAGCTTGCTAGACAAAGTGTGAACTTTACATTGCAATTCTGCAATCTAGTATTTGGGTGATCTTGGAAAGATTATTTAAGGCCTTTGAGTTTCATGGTCCTTATAAGAAACATGAGGATAATAATACCGACTTCACATGGTTGCTGTGAGAATTAAATTGACGTCGTATGTAAAGGGATGGCACACAGTGCCAGTACTGGTTCCCTTTGAGACAACTATGACTCATGGCGACCCCATGTGTGTCAGAGTAGAACTGTTCTCTGTAAGGTTTTCAATGGCTGATTTTTCTGAAGTAGATCAAGGCGCCTCTGGGTGACTCCGGCCTCTAACTTTTCAGTTATCTGCCAAGGGCATTAACCGTTTACACCACCCAGGAACTCCGGCACATAGTAAGTGCTCGGTAAATGGGTGCTGGTAATAGTTACAGCTATTGTTGTTGTCATTGTTGACAATGATAACAATAATAATAGCTAATAACAGTATGGAAAATATGGACCAAGTGGGACGAAGTGATTTAATTAGCGTTACAAGTTAGTCTGGTAGAAATGGAACCAGTATGCAGATCTTCTGTCCTCTGGGTCTGTCCCCACTTGTAAACCTCAGTTGCTGAGGCCAGCTGCAGAGCTCTGACCTGGAGAAGTACAGAGCCCTGGCAGGTTGTGGGCAGACTAGGGAAACCCACTAACATAGCCTGTATGTGGGTTTGATATGCTGAATATTCAGCCCTGGCTCCTGAACCACACCTGGAGGTCTCATGGTACACACAGGCTGGCCAGAGGTGGGCCTTATCCTGCCTCCTTCCCTCCCCACTTTGCTTGTCACTGGGAGAGCACTGACCAGCTCTGCCAGGTGAGAACCCCCAGACCTGGCCAGGACCACAAGTATACCCAGGGCTAGAAGAAGCCAACTAGGGGGGTGGGCAAAGGGACCAAGGCTGAACCCATGAGAGAACTTTTTTTTTTTAATTAAAAAAAAGGGAGGTGGTATGGAGTTTCTGGGACAGGAAGAAGGTGTTTTAAAGTCACAGAGTGCCCAACTATAGGGTTAATATAAAAGGAAATAGGAAACGGGAAGAGATCATGTGAGGTTCAGCCAGCTGCCAAGGTGGATCCTTGCCAGAAATGGTGACCGGTGGGTGGAGAACAGAGAGAGTAATTTGTGATGGCCACTTCTGGGAAGCAGAATGGCCTCTTCTTGCATCTCCTGATACTACCAGGGGCCACAGGAATCTGCAAAAGTTCTTTCAGCTCTACCACCACCATCCAAAGGAAGCATGTCTGAAGAGGACAAGCAGGTAGCCTGTAAATGGAGACCACCTGGGCCCAGAGGGAGGCCTGGGGCCAGCCAGAAAGAGACCAGCTGGAGCATCCGGTGGCTTGATTGGTAGCTTTCCAACCTTGCAGGCACCCAGAGTTGGCTGACAAGTAGACATGTCTTCCTTAGCTCATGTCTGGCAGGGCTTTCTGGGCAGAGATGGGAAATGATGCTGCTGTTTGGTTCAGTTTTCCTTTAACTCATGGTCCTGATGTTCGCTCAGAGGTTTTCTCACTGCTCTCCCAGGGCTCAAATGTGGGGAGTGTGTGTTGGGTGGGGGTGGGGGCTCATGCACACACATATGCATGGGGTGAGCAGTCAGGAACATATTCAAGGAGTGAGTGCACCCCATTTAAACAGGCCCAGGAGCTCCAACCCCATCATGTCTCCAACGAGACACCAAAGAGAAGAGAAGCCTGCCCCTTCCCACCTTCATTCAGTGGGGACTTGCCAGGGGCCCTCTTCCCCTCCTGACAGCTGCCATCTCCTGCAGAACTCTCCTTCAGGGTGTGGATGTGCGGTGGGAGCTTGGAGATTGTCCCCTGCAGCCGGGTGGGCCACGTCTTCAGGAAACGGCACCCCTACAACTTCCCTGAGGGCAATGCCCTCACCTACATCAGGTAGGTCCTAGTTGAAAGAGCACTGGATTAGGAGCCAGGCCTCCTAGGTTTTAGAGCCTCGCTCTGTCAGTTACTCACCATGTGATTTTAGGCAGCCACTCCCCCTCTCTGGGCCTCAGTTTCCCCCTCCCAGTTCTCACATCCTGGAATTCCAGGTACTTTTAGGGGTAGAAGTATTGCCACTAGGTCTCTCGTGACTTTGTCTTTTTCTTGGGAAACTAGCCAAGTGACTGACTGATTACTGCCCTCCGCTTCTTGAGCCCCAAGTACTGGTCATAGGTGCCAGTGTCCCAACCCTGACTTGGTCAAGCATCTGCCCACCCACATCCCACTGTCTTAAGAGGAAGTGAGGAGGTCTTGGCAGACCACCCCAAGACATACTCTCCTAACAGAGGTGGCAAGGGGTGGGTGGGAGGAATTGTCACGAGCATCCCCTCATCAGGATGATTCTGAACCTGGTGAGGCCTGTGCTTATGTGTGTAGAGTGAGGAGCAGCAGCTACCCACATCTAGCTAACTAAGTGGCCTACTGTTTCGTTTTGCATCCCATTGCACCCAATTTTTACTGTTTTTATAATTATAAAAGTAGTACATGCTTACTGTAAAAACTAAAGTAGTAAAGATATATGTTACATATACAGACACACATATATCTGTTTATATTTTTACTCCTTATGCTATAGATAAAGAAAAAAGGAAAAGTCTCTTTTACCCAGTCTTATCCTTACATATCCCACTTGTCTCTCCAGAAGTAACTACTATTAATAGATTGCTGCTAATCATGCCAAGCCTTTCAATTCATGTTCATATATATTTTATAGAGAGACACATTTTATAGAAATGGGGTCATACTATATATTTTCTCTGCAGCATGCTGCTTTTACACTCAACACTTATGTATCCTTCCATGTCAGTGCATACTAACCGTGGCATTCTTTTCCAAGGCTGCCTAGGACTCCAACATGTGGAAGTAATTAATCACTCTCTTAGTGATGGACATTTATGTTGTCTCCAGTGTGTTGTTAAACAAATATTCTTGTACATGTCCGTTGTGCTCAGATGTGGGTATTTTCTTTGACTAGATTCCTAGAAGTGGAGAGTCAAAGAATATACATACCTACAAAGATGATGGGAGTAGACAGATTGTCCTCCAAACAGATTGTACTCATTCATGCCACTCCAAATCAGTATTGTTTTGCATACACTCATGAGATTCTCCTCGCCTTCTACTGTACAGTGCTAATCTTGATCTTGACCCTGTTGACTCCCTGGTGACTTTATTTTGCTCTTTCCTCTCCTTTTAGGAATACCAAGCGCACTGCAGAGGTGTGGATGGATGAATACAAGCAGTACTATTATGAGGCCCGGCCCTCGGCCATCGGGAAGGCCTTTGGCAGGTGGGCCCCTCCTGCTTCCCTGTTGGCCTCCTCCCACCCATGTTAGCACAACCTTGTTGTATTGTTGTTAGGTGCCATTGAGTTGGTTCCCACTCATATTATCCCTATGTACAACAGAACAAAACATGGCCCGGTCCTATGCCATCCTCATAATCGTTGTTATGCCTGAGCCCATTATTGCAGCCTCTGTGTCAGGCCATCTCATTGTGAGTCTTCCTCTTTTTCACTGACCCTCTACTCTACCAAGCATGATATCCTTCTCCAGGGACTGATCCCTCCTGACAACATGTCCAAAGTATGTGAGACGTAGTCTCGCCACCCTTGCTTCTAGGAGCATTCTGGCTGTACTTCTTCCAAGTCAGATTTGTTCGTTCTTTTGGTAGTCCATGGTATATTCAATATTGTTCGCCATCACCACAATTCAAAGGCGTCAATTCTTCAGTCTTCCTTATTCATTGTCCAGCTTTCACACACATATGAGGTAATTGAAAACACCATGGCTTGGGTCAGGCGCACCTTAGTCCTCAAGGTGACGTCTTTGCTTTTCAACACTTTAAAGAGGTCTTTTGCAGCATATTTGCCCAATGCAATGCATCTTTTGATTTCTTGACTGCTGTTTCTCTGGATGTTGATTGTGGATCCAAGTAAAATGAAATCCTTGACAACTTCAATCATTTCTCCATTTATCATGATGTTGCTTATTGGTCCAGTTGTGAGGATTTT